AAAGAGTAACAACCAATCTTAAAGTGTTTCACCTCTCCTATAACTACAAATACACTCGTTTATCGATTCAGTCAGTCAGTCAGCTACAACGTAGGACCAGGCACATATGTGCATCGGTCCAGGTTGCCATACCGCATCAGCACAACAAGATGAACACCGGATTCATAACAGTGGTTAGGTAAAAGATGGTAATATATAAGAGAAAGATTGCATATAGAGATATAGTACAAGAAGAAAGAATTGGTTCGTAGAAAGAAAGATATGAAGCGCTTTTAATCTCTTAGTTTAAGGGAAGACAGGGAGTGTATACACCGACGCCATTGTGATCGATTCTGAGCCATGTCACCAAGAGTCTCCAACCATTGGTTACGATAGTCACGCGGACCCCAACCAAGTAGTCTGCATCTACCAACATGGCTCAGACTAGAAGTTTGTAACTTCGAGCACTGATGCCACGTTTTGGTTTGGTCGCCCCTAACTTTCTTCCAACCATTTCCAATACCGGATAGCATTGCACGTCGTGGTAATCGGTGTTCAGGCATACGTAACACGTGGCCCAACCATCTCAACCGATGAAGATTCATAACCTCATCAACTGATTTACCATCATTTCCTAATACCCTGCGTCTAACCTCACTATTACTTACCCGATTATCCCAGCAGACGCCAGCAATATTTCTTAGGCATCTGTGGTCAAATACTAATAGCTTACGAGTGTCTTCTACTCTTAATGGCCATGTTTCGCTGCCGTAAATTAAAACAGAACGGACTGCCGCGCAGTATACTCGTCCTTTTATTGATAGACGGATATCTCGCCTTCGCCACAGGTGACGTAAGTTGGCAAAAGCCGAACGAGCTTTTCGAATCCGTGCTGAGATTTCGTCCGATACCAACCCATTACGGCTGATCAGACTTCCAAGATAAGTGAAGTTGTCAACGCGTTCGACCATCTCACTCCCTATCCTTAGTTAAGATGTTGACGCAGACCAGTCCTGAAGCAACAACTTGCATTTAGAGGGAGAGAAGCGCATTCCAAACATCCTGGCATTGCTGCTCAGTGCTACCAGAAGACTGCATTTTGTCAGCGTCTTCACCAAACAGGACTATGTCATCTGCGTATTCTAAGTCGATAAGTGGACCTCCTGGATGGAGATCAATACCCGAGAACTCAGTCGACGAGAAAGTTATTTCCATCAGTAGATCTATGATGAAGTTAAACAAAAATGGGGAAAGGGGACATCCTTGACGGACACCACTTGAGGTTGCAAAAGTAGATGACAGTTCGCCATAAGCTCTCACTCGACTAGTAGTGTTCGAGTAAAGAGCCTTTACAAGGTTTATGTACTTCTGGGGTACGCCTTTCAATGACAGACACTGCCACAGAATCTCGCGGTCTACCGAGTCAAATGCTGCTTTTAAGTCAAGAAAGACCACCATCGTCGGACGCCGATAAGTATGCCTATGTCCTAGAACCTGACGAATGGTGAATATGTGGTCGATGCAACCAGGACCAGGTCTGAAGCCAGCCTGATTTTCTCGTGTTTGCGGTTCACGAGTCTTAGTTAGGCGTCTGATTATTATTGAGGCTAGTATTTTAGATATTATATTAGTTAAACTAATCCCTCTGTGGTTGTCACAGGATGATTTTGACCCTTTCTTATATATTGGGACGATAAGTGATTGTGACCAGTCAGATAGAATAACGTCTAACTCCCAGATCTTAGCTAAAATATTAGTCAACCTGATCGCTAAAATTGGACCACCATCCTTAAAGACTTCTGGAGCCAGTCCATCTGGACCAGCTGCCCTTCCTCGTTTCAGATTATCTATAGCCTTTTGAACTTCAGCAAGAGTTGGGGGACCTACTTCAATGTTCCATTCACGCTGTCTGGGAATGGAGGGTAGTTGTAGAGTAGCTGAAGGCCAGCTGAACTGTTCCCTAAAGTGTTCCACCCATCGTTCTGAACGCCTGGACTGGGAGCAGATGAGTGTATCGTCTTTTTCCGATATAATCTCACTTACACTTGACTTATTAATTCCAGTTTCTTTTATTAGTCTGTAAAGCTGTCTTGTGTTCCCTATAGTCGCCGCCTTTTCCATCTCTTTTGCTTTCGTTGCCCACCACTGCTCACGGTCGTTTCTTAGACTTTTTCTTAACCTAGATCTGATTTGTTGTCGCTCTTCATCATGTTCGGAACCTGATGGGACGAGTTTGCGAGAATCCATCAGTGTGATAGACTTTGAAGAAATCCACTGGTTCTTTGAAACTCTGTGGTTTAAGTCGCTAATAGATGTCACTGCTGCTTCCACAGCTGCTTGTATGTCTTTCCAAGCAACATCTGGGTCAGCCTCGTCTTCAGAACTACCTAAGTGTGAACTCAGTTGTTCTTGGAACCTATTTTTGGTTTTCTCGTTACTCAACTCAGTTCTAATGGGTCTTTTCAATGTGGCTTTTTTGCGTCCGGTGAGGCGCAGGCAGATGCGTGCCCGTATTAGGGCGTGGTCGGAGTCCAAACAGGTACTCCAGAATGAGCCACAGTCTTCTACCGACCCTCTCCAACGATGACTGATGGCAATATGGTCTATTTGAGTCCATCGTTGGCTTGGTGTAGGGGGTCACCATGCTAGACGATGTCTCTACTTATGCTTAAAATTTGTGTTTGCTAAAAATAAGCGATTGTCTGAGCACAGTTGCAGCAGACAGTCACCATTATCTGTTCGCTGTGCCGGAATGTTAAAATATCCACCTAAATGCCTTTCTGTGTGGTTTAAGCTACCTATCTGAGCATTAAAGTCACCCCCTACGAGTACTATGTCTGAGCGTTTAGCTTTCTGAAGAAGTTCAGATAACTTTCTGTAAAATTCATCTTTCACATCATCTGAACTGCAGTCAGTGGGAGCGTAGGCAGAAACGACAAAAAGGCAACGACGTGTGTCCCTATCTTTCCGAGTTCTTACGGAGCCGTTTAGCCGAACAGCACATAGACGACTGTTGACGGGGATCCACTCTAGCAGTGCTTGTTCCGCCCTCATGCTTAGTGCTATGCCTACACCTGCCAGTCCACGAGAGCTGGCCATCGGGTCACCAGATACACGGAGGGTGTATCTCGTTGGCTCTCCGTTTTGCCGAGGTGAGGTCAAGTGAATGACCAAACTGGAATCCTGTATGCGTGTTTCGGAGACTCAGCATGCATCGATGGAAAGAGACTCTAGGGTTTAAGCCAAGGAAGCCTGCTGACCGGTTTGACATAGAGTGCGTACGTTGAAAGCTCCAATGTGTAGTTTGGAGCGAGGTTTCAGTAGACCTGGGACAGAGTTTTGCGCACTAGAATCGTTGGCTATGGTGACACTTGAGGAAGAAGCCGAAGGAGGAAGTTTAGGGTTGAAAGTCGATGTAGGAGGAATAATAGGAATTGAAGAGGAAGGTTGATTATGAATACAGTGGTCTTGGGTGCTGTTAGAGGTATGAGGGCGGCTATCACTTCACGGTTGCCCACACCGTGGAAGGGTTCTTCTGGAGGTACCTGAAAAGGAAACTGGATTAGAGGCGGTCTCAGCGACCTGAGAGCGTGACCGCAGTGCCCAAGGGACAACTGCTTGAGGCCGGTCGCGCGCGGCCTTTTCGTGGAAGGTTTTTGACGCGTTAGCTCCGTTCTTCAAAGGGCCTTACCGCCGGAGACGGAAATCCGTGAGATAAGGTGAGGTGTGCATTTTTAGGGTCGACCTTTTCTAACCCCACCCCTCCTTGTGGGAAGGCAGCATCGCTGTCATGCTGGTTGTCTGAAGGAAACACCTTACTGCTGTCACACCTCTCTACAGTCAGCAGTACGACTTCGGCTTCGGACCTTAGGTTTGTTGCTTTTAGTCTTACCGCTCTTCAACCGACCTGTCTGACATGGTAGAACCTTGAGGAACGGTTGTTCCAGCCAGTATAGCTCGGTTGCTTCATCACGATAGGCAAGCCCGACCACCACGTCAAGGTAGCAACAACATCGATCGTTTATCGATTCAAAACACAAATGATACAATCAACGAAGTATACGGAAGAAAGTTCGAGCAACAAATGGCACATGGATACACAGAAAACGGAATATGAGTTTTCAAAGCTCAACGCTTAAAGATGACGAGCAAGTGAGTTTAAATGACTTCGATCACCTACAATCTCCAACAAATAAGTGTTAGTATCTGGATTACTCTTGCTACAGTTCACACCACCAGTTAGTGACTTGATATGAAACTAAAACGCGTGATTTCCATTTCTGATTAATCTATCGCATTATCCGGTACTTATAATGCTCTTAGAGATGAATAATCAGAAGACAGGCAAACTGAATTAATATCAATGACTATAGTTTTGAAGCAGAAGATAAATGCTTTGAAAAGACCCATAGGTTTTACATCTCTCTACTACGAAAGGCTATGGTTCAAAGCGTAGTAGGAACAAATTGTGGACCGAAATTTGGCTTGATAATTTTATCTCGATGTTCTAATGCAATATGTTGCATATGACTGAAGCTGTGTACCTCAGTACAACATGCCTTCGTATACATTAGGATATACTACTGGTGCAGTAAATGGTGAGGGTTCGCAAAATTCTGAGTAAGTCACCTGTATCAGTGTTACAGATAAGTACATGTATATATCATAGTTCTCAACCCAATAAGAGAAAATTCTCGACATTAGAGGGAGCAGAAAGTTCCGTACCTTTCAGTTAGTTATTTCAACTCCATTAACATCTAACTTCAACAAATCCGGTAGAGCTGATGTAATTCGGAAAGGAAGATTGGGATGTTGCCTAATGTCTTACTGACTGCTTTTAAGTTAATACATTCAGATGTCAACTCACCTACTATGCAACGAGTTCAATGTGTCTAGTGATATATGAAAATATATTTTCGTTTCACGACAGATATTCGTTCAGGTTAAGTGTATAATCAAACTACATACACCTAAAACTTCCATAAACAGAGTGTACAAGCTGAGTAAAATAATGAACTTACATCGTTTAGAGGTTCAAGAGGACGGATTTCTGGTTCGAGTATTGAAGGTGACAAGTGTATTTCATCACATTCACGAAGCATTAGATCGATCGGATCTCGAACCTAAAAAATATCAATCTATAAATTAATCAGTAAGGTAACTAAATTGATAAGGAAAATTATTTCGTAAGAAATTTCATGAAAGTGATGTACTTGAACATATCAAGAATAACAAGTACCTGCGACAGCATATAAATAGGAAAGGTTTCTACTAGATATTCTGAACGCGTTACTGGGAACTTAGGGCAGAAATGGAATAAAGTCACCGCCATTTACCTTTTGCATAGTGGGTAATGCATTCAAATAATTGGCAGGCAACCAACATCGATTTTACTTCGTTTTGCAAAGACAATTGGCAACAAACGCATACGACCTGACATATATAAACAAGATTTTTTGAAATAAAATAAATATAAACAGGAGGAAAATGTGATGAAGCCACCTCTGACATGGTAACTAAGTGTTTATCAAATCATCTTTACTGGTTTTTTCATCACTCTCCATTTTTTTCGTCTTCTGATATGTCCTATATAATCCTGTTGATGTTCACATATTGATTTGACTTCATTTCTTAACATGTTGAGCGATTACCCAATCAATCGATAATAGCATTACCCTCATATAACCTCTTCTTTTTTGGTTATAATTACTAGCAACACCTAGTCTACTTTGCATTATTAATTCTCGACAAATAGATACACACCGATTTGAACTATTTCTATTCCTACACTTCATCATATCCTATTTTTCTTATTATTATGGTCTCGGTTACGTTTAGAACATATATTTACTGAATATACATACATAATTAGCCCCCGAATTCCCTGGTACGGCCGAGAGTGGAAAGAGTCAGCTCTCCCTCTTGAAATGCTCTCACATGGCCATGAGTATACAGCCACTGCCAGGGAAGTCCTACTCACTGCCTTCTCGTGGTGGAGGCGTTGTGTACGAAACTGAGAGGACGGAAAGCGAATATTTAACGCTTTAGCCGAGTTGGTGGAGGACCCACCTAAGGGAGTTAGAAAACCCTGACTCCGAAACAATAGTGCACATGGGCTACAGGATCCTGAATGAACACATAGCATGTGAACCTATTGTTGGTCACCGGCTATCATGGGACTTTATCTCCTTACGTTGCTCCACTGCCTCGTGGATGAGACCTTTAGGTCGAAGGCTCCGGATGTAGCCTCCTAAGAAAACCACCTGCCTCGGTCAGGGCACTCGAGCAGTATCACAACCCAGACACAAGGCAAGTGACTTGTGTGGCACATATGTATTCGGTGCCCCTTTGTACCAATATTTATGTGTTCAAATAAATACATGCAGTTGCTTGAATAGAAACTGTACTGTAACTTGAAGTATTCTCTACAGAACTCATATTGCTCTGAAGCAAATTTAAGAGAAATCAACTACTACCTAACAGACTATATGTCTTACTTGAAGGTGGTTTTTGGGATGGACTGATATTAGCTTGGGAACAGTAGAAATGCAAGGTGCGATGGACAAGTGTTTTATACTAATCTTCAGCACTGTGTTCCGACTATGCGATCAGAGACCAAACCCACGATATTCAGGTGTCACAGCGAGAGAGCGACCTTTATAACTCTGATTAGGAGTTCAGTGTTCCAAATCCTAAATTCCAATTCGAGATGTAAGGTGATGACCATTTAACGTCACTTACAGGTAATTGGCTACTTTTCGATTAAATTGGACGTTATCAAGTTACATATCATTAGAGGAGTTCTATTATCAAGCCATTACAATTTCCAAAACAGTTGAGAAATCAGGTGTCTTGGGTTTTTTCGTATGTGAAAATCACCAATGATGTAATGTGAAGGAAAAGTATTGAGAAAGAAAGAAATGTACGATACCTTAACAGTTTTCGTTATTTGTGTAGTGTGACCTATTTAATTTTCATACAAATATCTTAACAATGAACTGCACGACCCGACTGTTGCCTAAAATATATTGCAATGAACAGTCTTTTCATTACACTAAATCCATCAAAGGAAACAAATGTCTTCAATGTCTACGGTGAGCACAAAAATATAAACTAAAAATGGACTATACCTGATGGTGAAACTTTGCGATTAAAGCACGAGCATCTGTTCGTGAAGCGTTATCTTCTTCTTCACAAACTTCCCCACGACAATATACACATACAAGTTTTCCCGGATTAGTAAAATCCATTAAACGATCCACTTCCAAGTCTGTATAGGCTGTATTACAAGAAGAACATTTGAAACTAGCTCGACTTGTCGACTGTCTTTGTTCAGCTTCTAGTCGACGTTGCATTTGATCCAGTCGATACTTGACTACATTGACAAACAGCTAAATAAATTAGGAGAAGTGACACATTTGATATATATACATATATATAAAATCTAAATTAATTGATTATTTACAGGAAACCATAGGATTTCTAAGGACGATTTCGCATTTTTAAAATTTAACTGACCTATTACGTAAACCGGTACTACAATTGAAATATTTGTCAAGAAATTCCGGGTGACCAAGTATTCTAAACGTAAATCATTCTTGAAGAAAAGTTCATACGGTTATAATCTTTGCTTCGATAATTTCATCTGTTAGTCGACAATATAGGACCTAGAGAAAATATGCATCGCCCGAAGTTCCCACAATTAACAACAACCCAGCGAGAGAAAACTAACACGAAGAAAGGTAAAAAACGTCAGATGAAGGAATTAAAGAAATACGATTTGGAAAGAGTGATCGGAATTAAAGTGCAGTGGGATAAAACGAGATTGATGCAATCGCAATTTTTCCTAGTCACGGTGCCTACCGCAGAACACAACCATTTGGTGGACAACAACTATGAAGTCTACATATTCTCACAGGATGGGGGCAGTGATTTCGTGAACTGATAGTTTATCCTGATTTGGGTGTCTTCTGCTTTCTCCCAACCGAATTCTATGCCAACCACAAGGGCTTGTCGAGACAGCCACACACGGGTAAAGAATTATAACCAGATCAATCAGTCCTCCGTTTTTATTTGAAACCTTAGGTACAACCTTAGCATTATTATTTTGTGGGTTGTTAGTAATTCATGAGTTTGGCTTTAAATCGACAGGTCGTCGTTTAAAAACCGCATCACCTTGTTATAACTGACTGCAAATTAGAGCACAGCGAATTATCGATCGGACCAAAGACGCTCAAACACGAAAGAACGGCATAGAGTTCTGATTGGTCCCGCTTCCCTGTCTAGCCCAGACAGTTGAGTCCAGAACGCAACTCTCAGCCTCTGATATATGAATCGTTATATTTCAAGCATACTCTGTTTATATACCAATCAAGCAGATCACATCGTACCATAAAATAGAAAATAACATTTGACACATGAAATAAGTACTGACCAGTAGGAAAATGATACCAAGAAGAGCATTAGACTTAATAGAATAATTTTTGGGATATTTTCTTGAATATCCCAGCACACCAACTTCGATTTCCACAGCAATTATGAATTAGCTTTTATGGTAAGTGAAGGAAGATATTTTGGGATTTTTAAATTAATGGATGCAATACCAACCGATTGATTGATAATATGCAGTAATAAGATGTGATTAACGGATGGTTGCTAACGAGGCCAGTATTCATTTACTTACTGTTTGTTCGTCGCTGTGGTTACAGTTCGCTGAAACGAGTTTTCGAGAAACTATCAGTACAAACAAAGTAATTGAGCTTTCCCATCACTATAAGTTGATTGGTTTAGAGACAACACTATTATAATTACGTACTCTTTCCTTTCTTCTACAACTAAAGAGCAATAACGATAAATATACACCAAAGGAATAAAAATGAGCTGCAGGTACCTACTAGTAGAAATGACTGTCAGGGAATGAACAAACTGATATAGCCATTAATAATGATAATAATTGATAAGCCTAAAAGAGTGAGAACTGAAGCTTATTATACGTAAATCCCGTTGCTACAGTCATCATCTGTGTTTGGTGCCCATAATGATGATCAGTCTGGACAAAGGATGGCAAATAACCAAACAAAAAATAAACCATAAACTTATTAACCATTTATCTGTGATGCATAAACAAATGTCGATCAGCAGTGAGCGACCATAAAAGAGAGTACTTCCTTCATTGAAGATAAAAAGAAAAAATTTCCAAGATATAAATTGAAAGACAACAAAAAAGCAAACTATTACTTATCATATGATATATGTTGCTTCTTTTATTTATTGTTCGCCTGACTTGAAGTACGTTAAGTCCAACAAGATATAGTATCAAGGATATAAAGGCTATTTCTCAATAGACTAATACCATGAACAGCACACTATTACATTTAACCATGACTAAAAAATGATGAATGCAGTTCAACAAATAACTTAACTGATGAAGCTAAATAACGACTTCAGAAGGAATTAACAGATAATATCTTGCACACATAATTAAAAGAACTATGCTTAAAATCAAACCAACTAGAAACATTGAATTTTTACTGAATGACTAAAGCAGACAAAAATGAAAGTAACTAGATTGTCTAGCAAATAGTGACTAGTGAAATATCATAACTAACAGAGTTCGTACAGAAACATTTAAGATGTAGATATTATTAATTACTCACGAAAGCAGTGAAATGATAACATGACAGACTGAAAAACGCCGAATTTTGTTCAAGTTTACACATTGCATATCAGTCAACACCGACAAAAGAATAAAACTAAATTTTGGGGAACAATATTGTTATATTCTAATGAATATTAAATTTTGAGTAACTTCTGAGAGCTATTTATGGGCTGTTATATATATATATATATACTTATTGTATAACTGTTAGGTTACTAGATTATACATATTTATATTGCGTTTATCATAAGCTTTTATTTAACTTATTGACTAGTATTATACGATTCACTATTCTGAAGTTATTCCCAACCTATTAGTTATAGTATTTCACACTCACAGTCAATGTTGGCTTGATCTTGTATAATTGTTATTTTCTATTTAACGGTCTGATGCGGCCCGATTTGCCTGAACATAAATTGTATGTCTGGAATACATGGTTTATACAGTGGTTACTAAAATTGTGTTCTGGACTGAACCGGCCGGGTTAGGTGAGAGCCTACCATCTCAGAAGACCAACAAGAATTCAGAGTTGACTCTAGGCTTCTCGTACTAGTTTATGCGTCATTGGTTTGGCACAGTATCAAGGTCAGACAGGTCAGTGTCCTATTCGAGATCTTATCACGTGACAATCGACAAGGCATAAGAATAAAACAATTCCAAAGTTAAGCAAAAGAAGCAAGATGATAGGACAACAAAAAGCAGACGGACTTAAACCAATATGGTCAATCATGGAACATACCACATAGGGTCAACAAAAATTGAAGTAAGTCACTAATGGAGTAAGCAAGATGTCCACATATCAACCAAAGGGCGAGTATACTGCACAATAATCCGTTCTGTACTACTCCGTCTATGAAATATGGTCTTTTAAAAGTAGATATGAATAGATTGCATGTTTTTGATCACAAATGTCTTCAAAGAACTGGTACTGTACCGTGGAAGGATTGAGGTTATGAATATCTGTCGAATGAAGTGATTAGGATATATATCAAGTATCCACAATTACCGCATACCTTGATGCACGCTACGGGCTGGAAGAAAATACGTTAGAAGATAGTAAAGATACCCCAAACCAAGATGGTTCATCAGTCCATCTAATTAATGGGTGTAAGTCTGAATCACGTTGATAGGTACAAACTACCTGGTTGGAGTCAGTTCGATCATCGTGATCAATGGTTGAAAACGTTGGGAAACGTAGTTCAGAACCGGTCACAATGATGCAGATGTATTTACTCTTAGTTCGAGAAGTCACTTTCTCGAATTATATTCTGTATGGACAATTGTTTGTTAGTCTAACTGATAGTATTAATACTTATACTCCTCTTGTTTTTATTTTGGTAATTTCATCTGGCCGTATTGATGTGGGGTGGGAAGTTGGGTCAATGCACATACGTGTCGCGTTTTACACTGCTTATGTCTGACTCCATAATATTTTGTAAACTAAATGAATTTACTAGCATTTAATACAGCCCATTAAGATATAGGAACATAGTTCAAACTCTAAAATCGCTCGTTCGTTTGAGTACATGTGTTAACACATCGCTTGAAAACTAAACCTAAAGTAATAACAAAAATTTACTTTGTAGTCAATGAAATAGTGTGTTATCTTTGTTGTTTTTCCATCAACATCCGTTTCCAATTGTAATTTCGATTTAATAAATTGGTCACATTTTAGTGTGTGCAGATACTGTCTTAGTTGTTTCCTTTCAAAGCGAAGTCTTTCACATAGGTCATCTTCTTTCATAATTGTATTACGTACCTAAGAATAGAAGAAGCAAGCAACATAAACTGTCATAGAAAAGCTAAATAATTTTTCACAAATGATAATCGTTATGTGATAAAAGTAACATAATTAGCAGTGTCTAAATTTTTGTTGTATATATTTTTCTTCCAGCGGGAGGAAAAACAATAGACTATTGAACATAACGGTGAACCACATAAACAGGTCAGAAACAGCAACCACAGTTACAGGCTTCAGTCCTTCATTTGTTTGATATTTCAACAGTCAAGCTTGATTCAAGGGCATCTAGTTCATTGATGTTTTGATCGTTCGACAATCACAGGAATTTTATTGACTTCAAGTATTAAAAATATTTAAAATAACAGGATGACTTTAATATAATCTGTTTTTGATGTCAACTACTTAGAGTTTCTTGCAAGAAGAGTGTAAATGCAAAATGGATCAACTTCAAATAAGAGGTACAGAACAGATAAAGCGCCAGTTCCGTGACAATTCCGGGATTTTCCGAAACCACAACGCGAGAAGTATGATACATATAAAGAACATATTTAGACCAGTGTTGCGCAGTTTGTGGAAAGAGAAAGAAATATCAAATAATAGACGAGCTACACTTCGAAAACAAAACGTTTAACTAGAACATAATAAGTGAGTTAAAAGAGTTAGTTTAATAAAGCTGACAAGCTTAGTTACTACCATGGGGTAGAAAATGAAAGAATAATCTATAACTCTTTGTTTCTGCTATACTTGGGAACATTATGAACAATAAAGATTTCATTTTATTTGAAACACGTCATATGTTAGTGTTTCATTACGATAAATCTGAACAGCCGCAATCGGTCAATCAGTTACAACATAGAACCTGTACATATGTACATGGTTCAATTTACCATACCCCATTAGCACAGAAAGACAAAGTTGTCAGACCAAATCCCGAAATATTTGAGGTAGTAACAGTATCAAGGGCAATAGGAAAGATTAGATGTCAAATATACAATTCGAAAAGAAAATATAACTCAGTAATGTAAAAACACCAAAATAGTTGTAAGGAATTTAGCGTCACAGAATTCAGTGGAAGACAAAGAACAGATTCATCTACACCACTGGGAACGATTTTGAGCAATGTCATCAATAGTCTAGAACCACCGGTTACGATAATCACACGGACTCCAAAAAGGCGGTCTATAACTATTAAAACAACTAAGTCTAATTGTCTGTAACTGATGCCATATTTTGGTGTGGCTGCCCTTAATTTTCTTCCAACCTACTTCTAGACTACACAACATCGCCTGTCGGAGTATGAGGTAGTTAGGTATACGTAAACAAGTCCCAAACACTTTAGGTGATGAAGATTTATTACCTCATCAATCGATTTTCCATCCTTACCTAATACTTTATTCCTAACCCACAGAATTGATTTCTTAGTGTTCCCAAAACACACATCCATAAAGCAGGTAGGAGCAAACAGTTGAGCGGTAAAACTTTCCTTGGGTTGGCAGACAGATATCTTCCCTATGTTACAGGTGACGGGAATTGGCGAAAGCCAGTCGAGCCTTCTGAATCAGTGTTAAGATTTTGTCAGACACCCGACGATCAGTACCGATGAGACTTCCAAGATAAGTATAGCGGACGATGAGTTCAAATGCTTCACTCCCCACCATTATATTGGGTGATGACGCAAGCCAAACCTGAAGTAACATTTGTAAGGAAAGAACTGTGTCCAAATATGTTTGGATTATTGCTTAAGGTGATCACTGCATTTTGTCAGCGTCTTTGCAAAATACAACTATATCATCTGCCTGCTCTAAGTTAACAAGTGAATCTCCGGGTAGAAGATCAGTCCCTCAAAAGCCAGACAACGAAAGTGTTATCTTTAGAAGCATATATATGGTAAGGTTAAACAAAAATGAAGAAATCGGACAACCCTGATGAACAGTATTTGAAGTAACCAATACCGATAAGTTTGCCATAAGCTGACTCGACCAGTAGTGTTCGACTAGAGAGGATGTACGAGGTAAATGTAATTTATTGGTATGTTTTCCAATGACAGACACTGCCACAAAAATGTTTCTCTCGACTTTGCGCATCAAAAGCTCGACGTGGAAGTATTATTGAAGCTTATATCTTAGACATTATATACTTCGGAAAGATACCTCATTGCTAACGCAATCTAATCGTTATATTCAAAACAGTAAGCATGTTTTTCCAAATGAAGAAGCAAGTGACGAATCATCCGATTAACTTTCTTCACCCCATGAAGCCTATTTTGCCACTAATTATGTAATTTTACGTCACATTGAGGTTTGTATCGCTAAATAACAAGCTGTGACCTGAGTTTTATGAAACTGTAAAGTATTTAAAGTACTCATGACATTAAAATACGAAAACAGCAATACAATTCTCATAATGGTTTCAGTCTTTCTAGTTCAAATACACTATCAAGAGACCATAAAATTTAGTGTTTTTATCTTCCAGTCTCATCACTGCTCTCCTCATTTTATGTTCTTACTTTTGATATCTTTCATTTGATTAAAATTCAGCTTTCCCTATTTTCCCATATAAATGATCCTGATAACCTAATCAGTTTGACAAGTGAAATTTGCTGCTCGATACTAATAATAATCATAAGATAAATAAGATTCACAAACATTTATTGTTTAATTTAGGTACCTATAAAGTAATTTGTGATAAAGAGGAGATTGATTCTGAATAATCGTTCTCTTTTGTTTAGAATTAGCATCTTACAGAGTGTATATTATTTCTCTGAATCCCCTCTCTCTGATTGGTTGAATCAAAAGGTTTCTGTCATTAGTAACGATTACCCAGAAAAATTCATTTCTCATTTATTTGGTTATTATTTTTTACGGTACTTTTGCTTTTTACTCAAAATTTATTTTGCTCCTTATGTATTTTTATGATTTAACTATTTTTTAATTTGATTGCTAATGCAATAAATTAATTATATCGTTGATGCTTAACAGTTTTTCTTTGTTGTGATGTGTTGGTCTTCAGAATTGTGATTCAGAGCCAGACAGGATGAGTTTGTCAGCATCTATCAGTTCTGTAGACGCCACTGAAATCCACTTATTTTTCTTAACCCTTTGGTTTAGGTTTCATTTTTTTATTTATTTCAACACATAGATAATGGTACAAAGAGGCACCAAATACATGTGCGCCACACAAATTTCATTCGATATGTGTGTGAGGGCTGTGATACTGCCCGGGTGCCCAAACCGAAGCAGGTGGTTTTCTTAGGGGGCCACACCCCGAGCCATCGACCTGAAGGTCTGATCCACAAGGCAGTGAAGCATCGTAAGGAGATGCAGTCCCATGGAAGCCGGTCACCAACAATTGGTTCATACGCCATTTGTTCCCGCAGGATACTGGAGCCCATGTGCGTCATTGGTTTGGAATCCGGTTAAATCGCCGGACATTCGCTTTTCGTCCTCTCATTTTTGTAAACAACACCCCCGCCACGAGAAGGCAGTGAGTAGGACTTCCCTGGGAGAGGCTATATACGCGTGGTCATGTGAGAGCATTTCGAGAGGGAGAGCGGACTCTCCCCACTCTCGGCCGTACCAGGGCATTTGGGGGCTTGGTTTAGGTTACTAGTAGGTATCGCTGCTTTTGGATATCACACCAAGCTACATCAGGTTGGATACCATTTTCACGGTTGAACAACTCCTCTAGTGGTTCCTGAAATAAATCTTAATTTCCCCATCATTTAGTTGAACTATAAGGAGTTTTCTTCCTGACTTTTCAACGTCCAGTGAGATACAGACAAATACGTACTCAAACTAGGGCATGATCCGAGTCTAAACATGTGCTCCAGAATGAGACTCTTCAATCGAGCCACTCCAACGATGGCTAATGGCAATGTGATCTACTTGAGTCGATCGCGGAGGTCGCCACGTCAAACGACGTTTCTCCTTATGCTTAAAGTTGGTGTTTGCCAGAAGTAGACGATTATCTTAGCATAATTGCAACAGACGGTTGCCATTATCTGTTCTCTGAGCCGCAACACCGTAAAATCTGCCCAAGTGCCTTTCGGTTTGTTGAGTTTACTTACCTGAGCATTAAAATCACCTGCCATTGTTGCTGAACCAGAGTGTTTAGCTCTTTGAGGGAGGTTGGATAGCTTCCCTTAACTTCATTCGAGCTGCAATCAGTGGAAGGGTAGGCAGAAACAACGAAAAGGCAGCGGTGTGTGAACCTACCTTTTCGAGTTCTTACTGTTCCGTTCATTCGAACAGAGCACAAGCGATTATCTATTGAAATCCAGTCTAACAAAAACTGTTCTACTTTAGAACTTAACGCTATACCTGCAACAGCGAAGCCCTGGAAGTAGCAGTGGGGTCTTCAGATACTAAAAGAGTAAGTCGTGCCGGTTCTTTGTGTCGACAAGATAAAGTTAAATGAATGACCGCACTTGGAGCCTGTATGCGCGTTTCGAAGATGCAGAATAAATCGATGGTGCGGGATTCTACAATCCTAACTGAAGAAACCTGTTCTCCAATTTGACACAAGATTCGAACATCAAAAGCTCCAATATATAGTTTGGAGCGTGGTTTCAGGAAACCAGGAATAAAATTTCGTAAACTCAAATCATTAGCATAGGTGGCGCGTGGTGGCAAAGATAAATAAGGGTTAATTGTGGGGATGGAAGAAATATTAAGAGGTGAGGGAGAAATTCGATCGGCAACAGGATGATCTCGAGTGCTGACGGGCGGTTATCACTTTCTGGTTGCTCACACCGTGGAAGGATATTTCTTCTTAAGAGACCAGAATCAGTGATTGCCCTAAAAACTGGGAGAGTAACCACAGAACAGAAGGAACAGATGCCTGAGGCCCGTCGCGCATAGTT